ATGACCTGTCTGGATTTGCAGATAAGAACGTGTTCCTGTGATTTCACCTGTCTCTTGGCACTGAAACAACAACCCCAGAAAGTACAAGCTGGGGGAGAAATCGCGGCTCCCTGTGTCTATGCCAGTCTCCCCTTCTGCTAACTTCTGTGGCTGTGACATTGTTGTGCTGTTCCCCTCTCCCATGGCCTCAAAGATGTTGAGAGCTACTAATTTCTTCCCTTTCCGTTTCTTCCAAGGGCCTGTTGTCTTCTAACCAGAGCTGAAGGAGAAGGCACTTCCGAGAGCCATGATGTCCCTGGGTGTCAGCAAAGGTAATCCTGTTCCCTGCTCCTGCCTACTGGGGATTCTTGCTCTTCCATAGGCTTTCTCTTGTTTTCCTTGCTCGGTTGTATCAGCTACATCCTCTCAGCTCAGCTCCTCCAGTGCAGCATGTTCAAGGGATAAAGACACCTCTTCCTTGTCAGAACCTGCTCGAGGGACAGCTCCAGAATTATGTACACTTGGCTAGAATTTCAGTATCCACAAAGATACAAAGAACTAGAGTGCTTACAACCTGGCTGACATTTGGAGATGAGTGTAAGGAATGTGCTACCATATTCTTTTCTTTTCAATGTCCTCCTTAAAGCCCTTCTTCTCTGAAATGTCTGCTGAAAATACAAAAGCAATTAGGTGCCACTGAAGTGATTGACCCAGATGACTTCTCCATACCCTGTCTATGCATATCATATTCCCATCTCTTCTACAGGTAAAATATAAGGTCTCTGCAGTGGACACCATCCTTGTTCAGCTTGTTACCTTCACATGGCATTGACAAGAGTGTTTTATTAATAATGCAACCTTAATACACTTTATTATCAAAAGCCTTATGTTCTCAGCCCCTAGTAGTTGTTTTCAAAATGGTAAGAGATGGAAGACAGTTAGAAACACCTGGAGAAGGAGATATCCTCATCTGGTCTTCATCTTAATTTTCTCATGGGAAAATAGCTATTTCCAAAACAAGAAAAAAGCTGGAAGGGGAATTTCTTAGTTGAAATACTGTTTATTCTATCCAGCTGCACTCAGCTTGATCAAACCCATGTCATACAGGAGGACCTCAGTAGGATACACCTTCCTCACTCTCCTGTCACTGTCCTTTCGTACTGCTATAATCCTTTTTGGCCCCAGTGCTCCTCCTTATTAACCTGTGCTGCCTTTTTTTCACTTGATCTTTGTACTGTTGAGAGGATTTAGCATTTCCTTGTCTATAAAAATTCTATTTTAAGTGCCATTGCTGACTTTCTTTCAGAGAATGTAGTTATGTCTGAGCGGATCCATGGAAGAGAATGGGAATGAGGGCCGAGTTGCTGTTTGACATAGCCAGCCTGAAGGAGAGAGCATAGAATACAGAACATTTTGAGATTTGGGTTCTTGGAGAAATGTGGGTTTGAAACTGCACTTGGCAATGGAAATGTGGAAATGGGCAACCAAAGTGTGTGTGTCTTGCAACCCTGACAGGACACAAGACAAAGCTGAGTGTGGTGTGTTTGCATCCAAACCTTGCTACTTCATGCACCATAAGTAACATCCTCTCCAGCAAACCAGAAAGCTGATCTGATGGGAAATGCCAGAGGAAACACGCTGCTTTTTAAAAGTGTGATTAGACCACCCACTACTATGTGTCTTTGGTCTTCCTGAAAGAAATCGATCCATTAATATTAAACAGTCCACTGAAAAGGGGGAAAAAAAAAAAAACCGCAGTTGTACAGATCTCTGTAGAAGAGGCATCAAGGAATCAAGGGTAAATTGATCATGAAGTGTAGATGACAACTTGTTTCCATCAGAAGTAGCAAAAGATTTGTTCAGTGCTTTGATCTCTGCAACTGAAAGGAAATATGTGTTCCTGCTGTCTCAGATTGCCCTTAGCTCACCTGCAGCACTGTGACTTCTTGCCCTTTCTCAGTGACCTCTTCTGCTCTCTCCTTTCCTTCCTTTCCTTTGCCTCTCCTAGGTCGAGTGATCCCACCTACAGATGAGGACCGCAGGAGGATCATAAGGCAGATGAAGGTTCGTACCACTCTGAAAGGAGATCAGAGCTGGATCCACCACCAGAACTCAGATTCTGAAGAGGAGAAGAAGAGCAGCCCCCTGTAAGTATGGCCACCAAGAAATGCTCTTCCTCTCCCTTCCTTTTCCCTCATCTGCCTCTCATGGGCACTCTGTTCTCCAGTCTGTGAGGGTGGCATGATTTGGAGTTCCCATGATGATGTGAAACGCCAGTGCTGAAGGGATGCAGTGTTCCTGTTTATTTGCAATGTTCCTGTTTATTTTTGATAAATACACACTGAAACACTAAGATATGGCCTTTTCTGGGAGCTGCAAATCCAACAGCACAGGCAGATCTGAGGCCTCAGGAGAACTTCTGAGATGCGTGAAGTCAGATTCTGTTTCACAGTCTCTGGAGTGACTGGAGGAAAAAAAAAAAAAGCAGGGGGGAGAGGCAGAATTTCCTTTGATGGGAGGGACTTTCTAAGTGACCTAAAGCAGCCTGGTCTGCATCTCCCCCTGCAGCTCACAGGGGTATGGCAGGCAGCTGCCCCTGCACCAGGGAAAGCCCAAATTGCTCTTCTCCCAGCAACTCTCTCTCTCTCAAAAAAAAACAAAAACAAAACCATTACTGCCATGTTTGGCAAGTCTAATGAAGATCAAAAGTTGATTATGTGGTTGTGTTTTCTGTTTACTCAGGCCTGGACGGGCTGACGGGGGATCTTCAGGCTCAGCACCTATTGTTGCACCCCAGAATGACAGGTAATTTGGAGGACCCTTCCTGTCACTTCCCTTCTGCATTACCTCATGGGATCAGTTATGTTTTTACTGTTTCTCCCCATGTGTATGGTGTTTTTTCACCTCTTAATACCCTCTTGCTGCTGTGATTGTGTTGAAACACACAGTCCCCAAGGAAAGCCTGCTTTGCTCAGTACAATGTCTTACAAATTCTCACCTCATACCAAGCATGGCTCACCTCCTACAAACTCCGGATGGATGGATGAATGGATGGATAAAGACTTAGATGGATGAAGAGATGGAGGAATGGGTGGATGGATGTCCTTGAGGCAGATGAATGGATGCTATCAAGGCTGTGATTCCATGAGATTCCCACTGCATGTTGGCTCCTGTACTGATATGATATGTCCTTAACCTCGGAGCTCCTCATAGCAAGAGAAACCTTGTATGGGAGTCCAGTGGTGCTTCAGGTGCAGGGCGAAATACCCCTTCAGAGACCCAAGAGCTTGTAGTAAAATTGTTGGGAAGGGCTTAGCCCTGCGTGTGAGCTCTTTGCTGGCTGCAGTGTTGTTGCTGGGAAAGCTTTGCTCTCTCCCCGTACAGTTTCCTGCTTACTCTCCCGTTCACTGTGCCAGCTCTTGCCATTTCTTGCTTCAATTAGGGCAGTTTCCCTGGCATGCCCTGCCCTTTCTGCCTCCCTCTGCAGCATTGTGCTTATTGGTGTGCTTATTAACGCTAACAGAGACACTGGTGACGTGAGAAGTGTGACATTTAAGGGGCCTCTTCCCCTGGCACAAATGTTTGAGGGACTGAAGTCAGCACCAACAAATGACCAGGAGTCCAGGATACTCTGGATCTGTCCATGCTCCAAAGCAAGCACAGGCATTAGTATGCAAGGCTGGGCAGCTGCTCAGCCTCCCTGCAGCTCTCAGCCAGAGTGCAGTGCTCGGGGAACTGCCAGCAAGTGGGGCTGCAGTTGGCTACGTCCTGCTGGTGCCTGCTCAGAGGCCTCTGCAGGAGCAAGAGCCTGGGGTGGTGCCTAGCACTCATCGTGCTCCAGCTCTTCCCATTCTGAGATTTCCAGAGCTAGGCTATGCTGGCAGTGAGTTTGCATTTCTGCTTCTGCAATAGGAGAAAGACTAATCTGAGCTTGACAATCACCTCAGATACACAGTGTGAGCAATGCATTCCTGACCTCCTGCTAAGGTCTGGCATCGTGACTGGCCCTGCTTTGAGCGGGAGGTTAGGCCAGATATCTCCTGAGCTTACTTAAAGCCTGATTTATCCTACGATCTTAGGGGCACCCAGACAGACACATAACAGAGGGGAAGGATCCACGCAGGGCTAATGGGAGGCTGTGGTTGCCCAGTTTGATGGGAACCTCGTCCTTGAGGTCTTTTTTCTTGAAGTATCTGGGCTATCACCCGAGGCTTTTTTGGTAGCCATGTGTCCTGTGAACATTGCTTCTAGTACTGGTGCTGCTGCTGCTGTTATTTCTTTCCTGTGTGTTCACAATTCACTGGTGTCTGTTTCTTGCACAGGTCTCCTGCTGCCAAACCTCAGTCTGGTTACCTCATCAGGTTGGTATACAGAATTGCAAGAAGCACTTGGACTACAGGAGAAGGAAACTGGATCAGGAGGAGCAAATATGAGGAACAGTGCTCTCTACTGCTCTCTCTTAGCCAGAAATGTGGTGATGCTCAAGGAGTTGTTTGAAAAAATATTTTTGGGTATCATGTATTCCAGCTACTTTTCTGGTGATGTTAACAGAAAATCAGATCTCTGAATAATACAGTTGCCACACATGGGAGGATGAGTGTGTTTCTTTTGATCACCACTGCGCTGGTGATGGGGCTTGGGTGGTTCAGCTTCCTCTGACATGTTAGTAATTGCCCACAGAGAATCTGATGCCTCCCCGATTCCAAGCGGATTGGCAAGCCCTGTGATGCCATACCCAAACCTGCTTGGGAGCAGATTTTACAGTGTTGTTAAGGGCTTAGGAGTAGGGAAGCAGGGATTTTTCTCAGGATGACTCTTCCAAGGAAGCTAATACTAATTCTTTGTGTTCTGAGCAGCTTGCTCCCAGCAGGGCACACAGATGCTCTTTGGCCAAAGAATGGTGCATGTCTTGTCTCTCCTAGCTGTGGTTCCAAACTCGCCTGCAACACATTTAGCATGTCTCTTTTCTCTCCAGGGGAGTGTTCACAAGGACCATTGATAAAACTCCTTCCTCCCCAGATTCTGCGTCTTCCAAAGAAACACAGAAAAGGTTTGTATGTCTTCATGTTCTTCATGAAACTGAGCTTTCAAATGCTGTATGTCTGTCTTACCTTGGCCGGTGCTTGTGGGATCCCACTGAACTCCTCTAAATCCCGACTAAACCCTGGAAGATGGGGCTGTTAAACAACCCTCTCCACTAAGATTATCCACTAAAGAGATATGGCATCAAACTCTCTAGTTCCTCCGTCAATACATGGAGGACAGATGACTGTAAAATTACTCTCAAATCTAGGTTTAATTTGGCAAGTAGTTTTGGGTGGGAGACCACTCCAAAAGAATCCTTGCAAGGCTGGAATGCTTCGTTTTGATGTTTCTAATGTCAGTTGTTTAGAAACCCACCTTGTAATGAGAGGCACTTGCATTTAATGTTAAAAAGTGAGATCTAAGCACAGCTGCACTCTCAGTAGATGCTTTGTTGCAGTTCAAGTTAAACTTTTGGAAACCATGTGTTTCTTCCTGTTTTGATTCAGCTGGGGAGAAGCTTAATGCCACAGGGTGTCTTCCTCCCTAGGGAGGGCTGATCCTGTGTCCTGTGTCGAAGCAGCACTGGGTGTAGCAGGGTATGCCCATACTGGCTCTGACACCTTTCAGTGGCCCTGGGGAAACAAAGCAGACCTCAAATGCTAGTCCAAGTCTGTGGAAAGAAGACAAATGTTGCCCTTTCATTAAATAGCATTCTCTGAATACAGAGATTGAATCTTTGTGATCACTGTGTTTTTCCTCGTCTTATGAAGCATGAATCTCTCTATGGGAAAGGGTAGTAGAGGGTAAGAGCTTAGGAGGGTCACATTAACACATGTGGTTTGTGCTGTGTGCAGCACTGCAGTGAAGGGATCCAGCCAGTGCCGTTCTTCCTCTGGCTACAGGATGACAACGGAGAATTACAAGAAACTGTGAGTATTCTCTGTCCATGCACTGAGCAATGCTGCAGGAGATCAGCGGCACTAGAGCCTCAGAGATGAAGCCAGCTGCATGTGGATGCCCAGCCAGGCTGATCAGCCAAACATTGTAGAGCTTTCACTTAAAAGTGAATCCTTTCCTGGCACTATCTCCAGGCCTGACTGGGCCATGACGCATTCCTTGGCCTGATAGTGGTCTTTGTGTGGACCAAATTTTACTACTTGATCTTAACTAAGGCAGAAACCAGAGGACACAGCTTAGGGGCTTCAGAGTTTCTGAATCCAGGAAGAAGTAGAGACCTTCTGGCATTTTATACACTGCTTTTCATATCAAAGACTGCTTGCACCATTGAAGTGCAGCTGAGCACTTAATGTCAACCTCCTTCTAGGCTTAATGCTTGCAATAAGAAAACAAAGTCCTTTGCGGACATGTGTACCCCAAAACACATGAAAAACACAAGGGTCTTTCCCACTCCTGTGTGACACTTCCTGTGCCTGAACCCATTTCTACAAGGCCTGCCTTTGGATTAGTTAGGGTTGTATTTGTGCTGCCTCTTAAGCAATCTTTAGAGACAGTTCCCTTACTCTGTTCTTCCCTTCCCTTTCATATTTCAGAGCTCCATATAATGTCAAACAAAGGTCAGTGGACTTGGATGAGGAGGATGTCCCTTTTACTCCAGATGAACATAAAAAGAGGTACGCCTTGAAGGGGGCCACTGTTTTCTTGCAGGGACAGTGGCAAGTGGACTTACTTCAGTTTAACTATTCATTACTGGGAGGGTCATTTTGATGACGTTTACAGCTGACCCATTAGGGCTGATTGCAATATAATAATAATAAGCAGGCATTTCTACAGAGAGCGCATCTATGCCTGCAGGCGGCTGTGCTCCCAACAAAATATAATTAAAAGCCTGACGTGATTCAACCTGACAGCACAGCCCAATTAATTTGGCAGCTGGGGCTGGGTTGTGGAATCCATCAAGTATATCCTGTCTATGTGAAAAGATAGAAGCATGCGAGTAGTCCAGCAGTAAATAGAGAAGTCCAGCTCCCCGAGTCTACACAGGCACTTTCGAGCCTGGACCTTCATCTAAATCTGGATCTAGACTGGTCTCTCATTCTCACATCAGGAGAAGGATGTGTATTTCGCACGTGACAGCAACTCAGGCATCCAGGTCTTGAGAAGGGGAACTCTCTCTGTGCTCCTGGAGGAGGAAAGACTTTAACACTTTGCATCTATGAGAGAGCATTGTGGCTCAGAAGAGCATGATCTGTGCTTGGGAAAAAGATAAGACGTTGTTACTCATCCTAGCCCTTGACTGGATTTCATAATCTTTCCAGAGCATGGGAACTCTGTCAAAGTCAGCACAAGTCTCCCCTGGGTTCTTCACCTATAGCCACTTCAGATCCACACTGGGCAGCTACTATTAGCAGGAGCAGAATGTGACTCCTTCCTTCCCTTCCAGGACAGAGGCGGCCAACAGTGTCCTGAGGCGCACGGCGAGCAGGGAACGGGCTTACGTCCTCTCGGCAGCCAAGAAAAGCAATGGGTGAGTCTTCATGTGTCCTCTTCTCTGGGGACAGAAAGCAGAGAAGAGGCTGCTGAGCATGGTCTCACAAGGATGGTGACCTGATCCAAAGACTCACTGAAGGCAATGTGCATCTCTCCACTAAGTGGCGAAGATTTAGCTGCCAGCTATCTAGAAGCACGAAGGAGATTCACTTGTTTCTCCAGAATGAGACAAATCTGTCTGTCCTACAGAGAGGGATGACATTACAGGAAGAGAAAAAAAAAAAACATAATTTTCCCCTGGTCTTTAGAACCAACAACTAAGACCCAAATTTTCAGACTCAGTTCTTAGTATTCCTCCTCTACCCAGTTTCATTGCAGGAAGCAGTGGAATGGAAAGGGCAATCCATAAAAAAATAGATTGCTGTAAGAAACTGCACCCGGTTTTGATCAACTCTTTGGGACTGAGTCTATCTTTATCCTATGTTTGAGCAATGCCTTTAATGACAAGATCCTGATATTACTTACATCTCCAAAGTAATTCTGTAAAAAACCTTAAGAGGAAAGTGTACAAGTGTGTGTGGGAGCTCCTGGTGTCTGAGGCTCTTTTGTCCATCTCTTTTCTGGGAGGAGAAATGCAAATTTCCGAGATCTTTGCTCTCCCAGGAACTGTTATGATGAGCTTTCTGCAGCTCCCTTTGTGTGAATCCTTTTTCTCCTGACACAAACAGGCTCCAGGAGGTTGCTAGTGCAGGGGAAAGCAGGGAGGGGATATGGCTGCAACAATCAACAGTGTCCAGAATGAAACAAGTTCTTGGGTAGGATTCATGAGGGCGCTAAGAAGAGAGCTTTCACTGGCTACTAGTTTCTCCGATGCATGGAGGATGTTGGACTGAGTAGGGAGGTATATGTGTGTGCAAGGATACAAACAACCGTCAAGAGGGTGTAAATCAGAAAAGCCTTTTGGGGAAACTCCTTTATTTCACATTATAACTTGCCACTCTTCCTATGCTTAATTTATCTGCGCTATAATTCGCTCAACTTTAAAGCATCCGATCACAATCAATGTTGCCCTAATGGCACTATGTGATCCCTAATACTCTGCACTAAATGAATCAGTAGCTGCCTCTGCCCAAGGCCCGACTTTGCCTCCGAAGTTTTTTCCAACCTTTATCTTGTGCTTCCTTTGCAGCAGCCCAACACAAGAATTCCCACCCTTGTTTGCCAAGAGGTAGGTCACTGATCCAGCTCTGGAAATGCTGCCAGGGCTGTGTGACTGTGTACATGGATACAAGCAGGGATACTGTTAAATGCTGGGACAGGAGGTTCCCTGGTGTTTCAAAATGGAGGAGGGATAGTTAGCTGAAAAGGGGGATGTTTTGGGGCAAATGATGCTGGTGTTTGAGAGTTCACGGTGTCATAAATACTGAGACTAAAACATGGATATTACTTGGGTTATTGTCAACCTAAAGCAAGTAGTGATTGCCTGGACTCATTCATTGCCTTTCTTCTAGGGGAGGGAGAAGTGCACCCTGCAGTGCCAATATTCTTCAGGCATTTAAATTCTAAAAGAGTCGGTACAATAGGGAAATGATGCCCAGGGCATTCTCTGAAACTTAGCCTCAGCTGATGCCATTTGTAAAGTGACTGTGGCAGACAGAAAACTGTCATTGACTTGGGCTGAAGGTCTCAATTCAGCCAGTTGAGATACTCACCACTTAAAGAGTATGTGGAGAACAAGCAATGGGAAAAAATTCCCCCAAGGGAAACAGAGGAAGCCCTTAGCTTAAGGGAAAGCTGAAATAAACTGCTTGGATTAGTTGGCAATGGGGAATAGGAAGCCATGTGATATTTTTCTATCTGTTTGCTATCTGAAAGAATTGAGATAGAAGAAGAAGAAGGACAGCAGAGGAGGAGTTCCACCGTGTCCGATTCATGCAAGTTTACACCAGATGGCAACAGGTACTGGCCTCATCCTGGAGTAATGTGCTGACCGTCTCTGATATTAGGGTCCACTGACTTGCCATCTTTACAACTACTGCATTTGACTGCAAGGCTGCCAGGGGAACACAGCTGGGGACTGAGGTTTCTCAAGGTTTCTCAAAAGAGTCTTCCCTGGAGACTCTGTTTGCCTCTGCCTTGCAAAAAGGGAAGAATCCAACATGAAACCCGAGGTGAACTAACTCAGGTGAACAATGGGGAGACCTGATGACAAGGTCAGAGGATCTGAAGGTGCCTAAATGACAGCCCTGGAAAGTGACAGCCTGCATTTAACTGCAGGCCAGCTCTGGCATAAATTCCATGGTGTAAACCCGCCACAGAGCCCTGCTGCAGATCTGAAGGCTTAGGGGTGCTCACACTCCATGGCCCGAATCAGTCCTGCATTTACAGGGTGCTCATATGCCACAGGAATGAGCCTGGCACCAGTCCTGGAGAAGGAGCCCACAGCAGGAGTCAGGGGAGGTTCTGGCGAGCTCACATCCCCAGCAAGCAGCCATCAGATAGTGAGGTTCTCTTTTACTAGCAACCTTGGCTGCACAAACTGACCCCATCTTCTGGGCATGAAAGACTCAATATCTCGTTATTTCCAGTCCCCTGTGCCAACTCACAGCTTTTGTTAGACTTAAGATTTGATTATTCTGCTGTGATAGCAAGAGATAGGTGTGACTGGAGAGATTCATTATCTTTAAATTGATCTTTGCTCTGGCAGTAAACATTAGCCTCATTTTCAGCCACCAAGCCATTCTAAAGGCAATGTGTAAGCCGAGGGGTGCAGACCTGTGCAGAACTGTGGCACGTGAGACCTGGGGACAGGCTGTGTCTGATGTAAAGGAAAAGCAGTGACCTCCTCTTCTAGTCCACGCTGGTCTGGAATCTCTGCCATGTGGAGTGGGGCTGAGCGAGACTGATGTGAAGGTGGAAATGTTTGCCATAGGAGGGAGAATCCTGCTCGGTTTTCAAGTGGATTCATTTAATTCGGGATTCAGCTCTCTCCTCCCGCTCAGAGCGGTGGCTCAGTGCCAGGCAGCAGCTTCTGGCTTCTCTGCCACACGGGTCCTTAGTGGCCCAGCAGGGAGTCCGGTAGACGAGGCCTTTCGCTCCGCGCGCTTTGTTTGCGGGATGAAGGCGCTGCCACATGAATTTCCACTGCAGTTTTGTGCCGTTGCGGTACAGGTCTGAGGCACAGCAGGGAAGCAGTTGCCCTCCCTCCTTCCCTCCCACATTACACATATGAACACAGTGAAAACAATTTTGTGAATAGGCTGAAATTTAATCTGTGCGTTTGGGGAAGCTAAGCTGTCTTACAGTGCAAACGCAAATGTTGGGGAGAGGAACAACCACAGCTGTGTTAAATAGAAAACGCTGGTTTCTGTTGATAAAGCATCTCAGTAGAAAGGCTTGTCATGCCTGTGCAGCTCTGGTGTGGATCCTTAGGCAGCAGGGTCTGACCCGGAGGCAGACACCAGAGCTGTGGTGGGTCCCCACAGGAGGATGCAACAAAAAAGTCTTCTGTTTTTCATGCTTTCTTACTTTTGGGTAGTTTTGTTAGTATTAAGGGAAGAAACACAGTTGCATCTTCCCAGAATGAGCAAAGAACAAAAGCAATGTCTCCCACCAGGTGTTTCAGCACAGCTGGCATATCTTGAATACAGCCCCAAGTGTAACTGGAAGAGACTTCTGTGAGCGCTGCCTTGGATGGTGAAGTGCAACAAAGTTGTCAGCCTCGTACATACAACACTTCTTAGACACAGGCAGACATTTTAAAATGCTCTCATGTCTGGAATCACATATGTCCTACAATGATCCGACAACAGCCTAATAGAAGTGGTCCAAACCTGATAGGAATTTCCAAGGAGGAGGGAAACCCCAAACCACTGAGCTCTTTCTCAACAGTTTTGTAGAGTAGAATTGTTTTCAGGTTTTCAGTTGTTTTCAGCTTTTTTTGTTTGTCTGAATTCCTGACTATGGTATAAAAAATGTTGGATTTTTTTTTTCTGCAGCACTGAAAAATGGTGCTTTAGTCACTAATTTTGTGTTGTTATTTTTCCTCTCTGCATCTCATTGGCAGAGGGTGGTAATATCAGTGTGTTAATTTTTTTTTAAAAAAATGCTTACAATAAAGATTACTTTAGTGAAAGTGAATGTACTGCAAGTGAATGTATTTCAGTGAATTTTCAGTGCTTTGGCCAGATTCAATAGGAAGCCAGCTTGCTCAGGAAGGACGGTTTTATTTTACTTTTCCGTGTCTTGCAGCACTGAAATGGGTAGTAGGAGCCAAACGACCACATCCTTGAGTGAAACATCAGAGAAAATCTCCACTCATCCTGAAATCAGGTGGGTCTGCTGGCTCTGTATCTTCCTAAAGCTCCCAAAATGATAGCAACAGAGATGTTGCACTGGCAAGTTCGGCTCTGCTTTGTTTTATTTGCTCGACACGCAGGATCATTCTGGACACTGCAGTTCCAGAACAATAAACACTATAGCATGGGGATGCTAAGAAAGCAGCACTCTACAAAACCATTAGCAATCTGGGAGGAAATATACCCAGCTGGAAGCTATGGGCCTCCCACAGCTCAAACATCACCACATTCTTCCTGATCAGAATATGAGCACAGAAGCTGCAGTTTTCTACCCACTAGACTCTTCAAGCTTTTGTTTTAATCCAGTCTCTGCACTGCATATATCACACTTTCAACAAGCACCTTGCCTTATACTTCCTTTGCCCCAAATAGTGTCCCCACATCTCTCCTACATCTTTCCTACCTAATCATTTCTGTTTTGCTTGCAGAAATGGTGAAAACAGACAGACCGCTAATGGGAATTTCTCCTCTGAAATTGGATCACAGCATGGGGACAGGTAGGTAATCGAGAATGGCTCATCTGTGCTGCTGAGCATAAAGCATAGCCCCCTTTTTCTTTTTTCTCAAAAATGTTACATACCTGCTAGTGTTCTCAAGCAGATGGGATCTCTCCAGTCATGGTCCTGGGCCCCTCTCCAAGAGTATCATCTGCTGGCTGGGCTGCAGCTTGACAGGTTGCTATTGCTCCTTCACCTCCCCCAGGGCTTCGCCGCCCTGGCACAGTCCCTAAGGAAACTTTGCACAGGCACTTCTGGGATGTGATTCAGCCCACATATCCACACTACTCGTGGAGATGGTTCTCTCTCTCTATTGACCTTGGGAGTGGAGAGCAGCATTTGCAGGGTGTGTGGTCTCCCAGCTTAGATAGCTTCATGAAGTAACAGCAGATATGCTAAAGACCCTTGCACTCTTTTGGTGTACATGGGAAATGTGCACATACACCAAGCCTGGGTGCTGCTGGCTGGTCTAGATTTGCATACACTCTGGTGTCCTATATGGCGTCACTTGGTTATCCCATTTCCTTTGAGAGAGAGGTTGTTCCTCTCTGTGGAAGAGCACTTCCTTTAGGGACCAAACAGTGTTGCAGTTAGCTAGTTCTACCCAAGGGAGTGTTGCTTCTGCCTTTACAGATGCCTCTGAATTTAGTCTTGGTAATATCTTCTAGCCATACTGAGAAAAATCACTCCCTACTTGCATGCTTATGCCTTGTAATCTCTAGTTGCTGGACTGTACACAGAAGTCTGTTTCAGATTTCTGAAATATATCCCGTGTTAGCAGGACTCTTCATTCTCGGTGTTATCACTCAGTATTTTTGGCTGTGCCTAAAATGGAGCAAGCCAGGTTGTCCATCTGTCCTCACCTCTCACTGAGTTGGGCTTAAGTAGCTGTAGAAGGTTTGGATTTACCAGTGAATTTCTCTAGCATGTACAGTCGTGTGTGACACACTTTTTTTTTCAATGATAAGAAATAGAAAGCTAGACACATTCCCTAAAGCTGAAGAAATGTTCTTAGACTGAAGCAAAGTCTAGAGCCCCAGAGAAAAGGTAGAAGCTGCTGTCTGTAGAAGATGACTATTGTCATTCTGCCAAGGTCTAAATATAAATAGGATGTAAAAGATAAACATATCTTTTTATATCATTATGGGGAAGGCCTGATTATAAGGCACTCATTGTGGTTAAGGGTCATTTAGATCACATGGCTGCTCCTAATTGTGAGTTAGTCTCCCAGAGAAATGAGAGGATGCCTTATTATTTAAGCCAGTTAAAACTGGAGAGACATAACTGGCAGGGAAGGAGACAGATCTCAGACACACATCCCAATAAGTCTTGGGAATGAACGATGAATATAGTTGGGCACAAAGAGGTCTCACTAGTGGAGCAGGAGAAAAACCTTTCTAGCCCATTAACATAGAGAGAGCATCTGTGCTTCGGCATTTGTACTCACCCAAGCAAAGATGTTATCAGTACATCACTCCGGAGAGCAAGGCATTTCTCCGAGCACTCCATGACCTGGAATTAGGCCCATAGTACTTAGATGGTTGGCTCTTCCCACCCCAGTGTTTGGGTTAGCCCCATTTTGTGCTCCTCCTATCTAGCAGGCACTGTGCTGTCCGACTGTGGTACAATATAAATGCTATCAGGCCATGCCTTACCAATATTTTCCTTTTTCTAGTGTCAAATCTCTTAAGGAAAAGCCTGAATTGTCCTCCTGGAATGAAATGGCCTCCAGAGCAACCATGGTTTCCACGGATGGAAGGTAGAGTTGGCATGCAATTCCCTCATTAACCAGAGCATTGTGCAAATATTGTTCTAGAGCTGCATGGAAACTCCTGGTGGTAATTTACTGATGAAAAAAAAAGCTTTAATTAGTGTTCAAGTACTGTTTAATACAGCACCACAGCTGTCTCTCTAAAATGTTATTTAGGAAGGAGGGAAACAAAAAGTTTTGAGATCTAATTCCATTTTTTTATTGTTTTTGTGATACAATAAAAGATATAATTTGCCTTTGTGGGTCATTTCTGCATTTCAGAATTTGCTCCCAAAATTAAACCAATTCTGGTATTTGGAAGTTTCCTTAAAATAGAGCTGCATTCTCCATATATCTCTAGGCAAGCTGTCTCCCTCTACCTAGTTACTTTTGCAAGACACGACCTAAAAATAGAAAAGAGGAAAAAAATATACTTCCTCTGAACCATCTGGCAAAGCAAAATGCCCAGTGAGTAGCAAAAGTTGTGTCCTGACTCTGAAGCATGGTGCTAAGTAGTAAAAGATGACTTAATTGCAGGCAATGCAGTGTAACTGATTGGGATTTTGTCTCCTAATGCCCAGCTGAAGCCCAATGTCGCTGCTCTGATTGCCCTTTGGGTGGAAGACTCTCTCCCATTTCCATGCTTGTTTCATCCAGCAGGATCACAAGCAGTGTAAAACAGTAGTTCTCAGTTCTGCTACACCAAACTTCTCTGCTATCTCTTTCTCCTTTATTCCCCACCTAACACCTTCTGGATACTGCACCTGCTGTCACCAGTCCTCTAGGTCCTGTCCTTGGCAGGATGCTGCCCCCTCCCTCAAGCACTTGGCATGAAACCAGGCTCATACCCAGTGGAGTTCCTTAGCTTGGGCTATACCCTCTGCTGCTCTGCACTGCCATGTCAGTGGATTTTGCTGGGGATGGAGTGGAAAACACTGGTTTAATTTAGTCCAGAAACCTCTGTACTCCTATTTCACAACATTTCTAGGTAGTCTGCACCCTCACTGAAGAAAAATAGGGCTCTATAAATCAAAAAAAAAAAAAAAAAAAAGTTTGCAAACTGCTGTTTTAGGCGGCAAACTGTGCTTGTGTCCTGCCTGAGAAAGTGGAAGGGAGGGAGGAAAGGTGCTTCCCCCGGGCAGACTGTGGCATCCAGAAGAGGAGAAGTTCAGTGAGAGCTCTTCATTTGTGTGTGTTATCACTGCCGACAGGCAGGAAACAAGAAAACAAAAACACAGAGTTTTTCTCTGCATGCAGATGGAGGTGCCTGTGCTCCAGCTGTGGGGTGCAGGATGTCCCACTGTATTTGACAGTGCCCTGGCTTGAATTTCTGTATGACTCCATGCCACTAACATCTGTTGTATGTGGATGATGATCAAGGTTGCTAACTGCTCCTCTGCATTTGAAGGACACTGAATTTCTCCAAAGTATCTTGCCATTTTACCTGTAAAAAACCACTGATGAACATCTTAGAAGACTTAATGCATAAATAAATAGTTCCATATCATCACCCACAGCAAAGATGCTTTCTGAAGTTGTTTTCTCTCCTTTTCAGTTACCCAGAAAACACAGAAGCCAAGAATGGATTCTACCTGCCAAAGTAAGTGTAACACTTATTGACTTTATAAAATTCACTTTTCTCCTTAACTTTAGAATAAGAGGAGTCTTTCCTGACATAGTACCGCCCTAACAAATGTGTTCTGGGAGCAGCATTTGCATGCACTAACAAGGGGGTGGGAACTGATGCACCAGCTCAAAATGTGCTGAGATCTTTCAGCTTCTTTCCTTGCACTGGAATGAGTCGTTTGGATCTGTCTCTGCCCTTCAGGTCTGCTGCAGGGGAGTTACTGAGCTAAGCAGGAGGTAGGAAAAGACATAATGTTCCAAACAGGAAAATCTCATGTTTGATTTTGTTACTTTTTTACTCCATTTTCCAATCTGCCAGACTTCCTACTGCCACCCATGAATTTCCTTCTCTTAGCAGGCCCAGCTCTGGTTGCGGAGACAAAATTGCGGATGCTACAGCTGAGCTGCACTGTCAGTATGAGACCTCTCCGTACCTGGATGATGCAAAGCCTGAATCTGCAAGGTCAGGGACTGATGCTGGTGTTTGTGGTGCTGCTAGCAAGCACACGTGTGGGCAGGAGAATAAGGAGTTCATCTACCACGGAATTAGAAGTAGAATCCAAATTGTGTACCAAAATGAAAGAATACAGAAAATCCAAAATGGCCAAAGAAGAGGATAAGCATTCTTCCTGTTCACTTCCACTCACCAAGCTTTTATTCTATAGAAGCAGCTTTGGAGCAGCTACAGCAGCTTTCTGCTATTCCAGTTCCACTTTGTTATTGCCTTTTTTTTCCTATTGATCTCAAAAGTACTTGCTTACTACATGGTTTTTAGAGTGTCTTTGCTCCCCTTACAGTGTCAGAGGCACATAGTCAGGACATCAAACACCTTAAACTCCCAGAAGTTTGCTTTCTTCTCTTATTTTAGTTGATTGTTTTGAGTCCTGAGATTTGAGATGTGGAAATGATGTCTTCCCACCTCTTCATTGAGGTGAGGAGGACCACAAAGCTCCGTCAGGATACAGTAACACCCAAGCCCTGTAGTTGGTGCTAGTAGTGTAGAAACATCTTCCTCAAAAGCATTAATGTTGTGCTTTGTCCCAAGAGCATGATCAGGACAGAAGAGTGATGTAGCTGGCAAATCTGCAAACTTGTGCAAATTTAGGTTGAGTAACTACATTCATCTCACTAACAGTCTCTATTTTACTTGAATATGGATAGTAAGAATGTTTTTCTGAAGTAAAGCAGTTTTCTGATAATACTACTTTCTCTCTTTACTACAATGCATTGGTGTTATTTCATACCGTGAGTCCCTTGAACTCATTGAACTCTATGAGTGTGCTCCTGAAGCACTGTAAAATACTTTGGCAAGTCACAAGGCTGTTGATTCCTTCCTTTAGCAGGTCTAGTGTTCCCTGTCCTCCCACTGACAGATCTCCTGTGCACCTAGAGGACACACAAAATTACTTTGAAAGGTAAGATTGGGGTAAATTTAGCAGGTATGAAGGATGCTAAGGATTAAGGGAAATTGGAAATCCAGACGCTGTGGGCAGGCACAGAATTAATCCTTCTTTTAGAGCTCTCATCCCAAAGATGTAGAGTAATGAAGGAATAGGTCAAGTGTCTTCACAGTCCAGCACTTTGTCTTTATCATTCTTCCTTGCAAGCATAATTGAAGTCTCTTATCTGAGAGACAGAAACACTATTACTCCAAAGGTCCAGTGAAAAGTCTGGGCACCTTAAGAATCATAGAATCATAGAATTATATGATTCTAAGAAAAGGGAGTTTGAGAAAGGCAAGGGGAGGTGAAGCTGTGCTAAGTAGTGTCGCTGGATGCACTGAATGATTGGTGCTGGCTACAGGAAACCTCCAAAATATTGCACAGGGAGTCACATTTGAAAGGAAAGATAAAACACCTTTATTGAACATGTATATTCTGTACTGACATATACAATCTTCTTATATGATCTGGCCTCCACAAGTTATCCAAGATTCTGCAGGTCTACTTTCATGCTAGAAAGCAGCATGCTTGCGTGAACACAGTTAGGACTAGTATTTTCAAGACTGGTATTTCACCCTATGAAAATGGGGCTGCTTGACATGTCTACTAAAGTCCAACCATTTAAGCAGAGCTTAGTGCCTTGATGAAGTCAGTGTTTCATTGTGCTGAATGCAGTTTAGCCTTTGGAATATCCTCCGCTGAAGCCCTGTAGCTTTCACGTTCTCAGTGTGCACCAAACTGGGTGGCCACTCATTTTCAGTGCTAGCAGGCATCACATGAGTGAGATTTCTCCTTCTTTGCCAGGTCTGCCCAAGGTTACAAAGAGGAGGACACCCCTAGGGAAAAGGGGCCTCAGAGCACACAGGACACAGAAGAGCATAAACCAGAGCTGCACCCAGGAGGGTAAGTGATCCATTGGACTCATCCAGAGAACATATCCTCTTCTGCTCTTACTCTGTCCCCGGTGTAACTGAGACCACAGAAGTGCTCCTCTGCTTTGCACCCAGCAGTGAGGACTTTATAACAGCACATTATACCAGTCAGTCCACCAGAGCGAGCCAGGTGGATGAGATACTCCCACAGCACAGAGTTAGCTTCTGCCCTGAGAACATGTGACTTAGGTCCCTTAGCATCATTATTGTTCCCTTGGTACCAGGGTGACAAACTCAAGCTTCTGCTACTCAGAGATCACACCAGGTGCTATTCAGGCATTTATAAATGCTGCAAAATCATGTATGAGGGTGTCCTGAGACGCCAGGAGCATCTGTCTGTCTGAGGAATTCTAGTAACATGAATTCTGACACTTCTTCCTGAATCTAGCATTTTCATATTGTGGCATTCTCAGATAAATACCTTTAGTTGTGATTCTCCACACTGGAATGGGCACAATTCCCATCAGATCCAGTGAGAACTGAGCATCCAAATCACTAGGGCAGTTTGGAATAACTCAGGCCTTGCAAATAGTGCCTCTTGCTCCCTGCCTCATGGCTTCTTTCTAGGAAATGAAAGTCTACTTACCTTAGCATTTTTTTTTGTCAATGCCTTCAACAAAGATCTTTTTTTAGGTTTTCTGACTCAAGTAACCATACTGAGAAGCGAGAAGAACCTCCTAACCATGACACCCACCCAGAGTCTCCTAGGTCAAAGGAAAACTCTAAGTTTGAAGAGAGCGTGGCTAAGTAAAGAATCAGAAAAGATCCCCTGCCTTTGCCTGTAGAATGAGGGTTATTTCTTTTCATGTCCTCCCCCACATCACTCTGTTAATAAAACCTTCTCCTAGGTTGTCCCTGTATGCCTGATGCCAGTATACGTGTATTAAGTGAGTCTCCTAACACAACTTTATATAAAAGTCTGGGGGAAAAAAAGTCCTAATTAGCAGGATACATCAAACACCGTGGAACTCGATTGCCAAGAGTTGCTGCCTAGACTTCATTTGCCAATAAGCAACACGCTCTGGCACGTGGCAACACCTCTGTGGTAATGCTGGGGCTCATTTCAGCTCTTCCCCAGGCAGCATCAGCCGTCAGGCTGCGCTTTGGTCACCCTGGGCACAGGACCATTTTCCATCCTCACTTGGATGCCCTGGGACTCCACTGGGTTTGCAGTAGCTGCCTATGTGTGTTCAGCCTCCTGCAAAACAGTGCCAGGATAAGTAACCAGTGTTTTCCTCCCTAAATTTGAAGGGAAATTTGACGCCCTAAATGTGGGTGTTTGTCACGTGTTTCAGCAAGCAGCTCAGCTCCAAATAAGCTTGTAATCTGGACTGCTTGTCTCCCTCAGAGCCAGGACATATCCCAAGGATGGTGCCAGCAGGAGCATGGACGTTAACAAGGAGATCTTGCCCTGTGTGCAGAGTGAAGAAGCTGATTCAAGAAGGCAAGAGAAATGATGGGATTTCTTGTCCGGATGAGGGAACAGGGGGAATTTACTGCAGGTGGTTCTGGAGAAGGGCACTGAAGATGCTGTGTGTGGGGTCAGGAGCCACCAAGCTGGGATTTCTTCATGCATGCACACAGATGCATAGCAAGTGGTGGCACAGCAGACTGTGTTTGTAAGGGCTGTGGAGGTGGGAATTCAAAACGTAATTCTTCATCCTGAGGGGAGGCAGAACGCCCTGGCACAGATCATTCCCAGTTCTCAGGGTTGTGAATGAAACTTGGACTGGTGAAGAAAAAAAGGTACAGAGAGGAAACTGCCCATTTTCCTCAGCAGCCCGCAACAAATGAGAAAGAGGGATAAAAATCAGGCAATACCTTGCTCGCTCCATGGGCAAGGAATGCCTGTTTCTCTGTCATGGCCTTCCTACGGATAAGCTTTTAAGCTTAACATGTTTCCAAGATACTGAGAGAAATGCAGAACCCCGAGCTGAGAATCTTAGTGCTTCCAGGTGGAGTGAGTTTGGATCAGACTGATCAAAGGAGGACTCAGTAGTGTTTCTGCAGCATTCCTCCACCAAAGAACTCTGGGGTTAGCTCCTGCTCTTTTTTTTTTTTTTTTTTTCCTCTTGGCCATAGTTATTTTCATTAAGCCTTTAGCTTCAAGCTTATATGGGACATCAAACAAGTACAGACAAGGGGTGCCTATATTGCCGCACACCCACCTGAGAAACTGTATCTATCCATCTGTATGTCCTTAGCCTGCGGCAAAAGCAAGATATTGTGACTTATATTAACCTTTTCACTATGGGTTAATCTAAATCCATCACCTTTGTGTTTGCTACAAGCTGGGACTGTGCAGACAGATATTTACTGAGCTCCTGGACAAGTGCCTCTTCTCTGGGCACTTTCTCAGAGTATCCTAACTGGAATGGGAATCTATTGCAAAAAATGAAACTTCAGTGACCATTGGTGTTTTGGTAAAGTAAGACTTTGAGATATCTACTTTTGTGGTAAAATAATAAAAATAAATAGATTTGGCTTTCCTTTAGGTCACTGTACCAGTTCTCTTGTTGGTGCCTCTCTTTGCTTTGCGAAATTGTAGGAACTCAGCTAATGCTGATGAAGGCAAGTCCTCAGCTAGAACTAAAGTCTAAAGGTCGTCCCTTCTTTCATCAGCCTCACTGCTTCAGGGCAGTATCTTTGAGAGCATTTTGAGAATTAATTTCCCAGTGCCTGAATAACGGCAGAGTTCTGGTGCAGGAATCCATGCCAGATTCAGACTTTCTGCCTTTACACGAGACATCAAACAGTCCAAGAGGGGTTACTGTTCACACAGAGGGGTGTGCAAATGCATGAAAACAGACAGAAAAAGTGAGCAAACTTTTCATTAGATCAGTGCAGAGAGATGCAAATCCAGGGTTTCACCCATTGCAATGGGTGCAGAAATCTAACACAGAGGGGGTACCCAAATGAGGCCAACTTATGCTCTTAGCGGTTTGAAATATGAGGTAGAGGTGCTGGATAAACCCTGGTGGTTATAGTTAAATGAATTCAAATTTGGAAAGAGGAAACAGGTAACTGATGCTCATCAGGAGCTGTATTTTTATTTCCCCTAAGCTTTAGGTGAAGAGAGTTGTATTTTCCCCCTTTTTTCATATCTCTGTGGGTTATCTGGCATCCTCTTCATGCAGGAATACTTTTGAGACAGGATACTCACCAGAAAATGATGAGTCTCCTCCTTTGAGGGCCTTACAAATGCTCCTCTCTTGGCTGGTGTAAATGGAGGGATCTGACTTCAGGGACCACCCTAATCTTGATGTTGCTGCATGTACCACTGTACTGGGCAGACTCAGATACAAGTGCTAAAGCTGCTAACAGATTGTTTCCTTCTTGACCAGGGTCACACCAGCTTATGAAGAACAAATCTCTTCCCCCAGGGAGAGTCACCATGAGAGCCTGGGAGCCCCCAGACACAGTGAACCCATCCCAATGGCTGCAAGGTACAGTGGATTGACCCTCCTGCTTCTCACAATCAATAGCTCTGAAGTCTTCATCCTTTGCAAGTCCTTTTTCTTGACACAGCCATGATTGAACTCCTGAATCTATGTAAATGCACACAGTGTGCACTAATCAACTTGTGCTGACAAGGAATAGTGGGACTAGGATTTCTCCCCAAATACAATTTGGGTAGCAAAGTAGCTTAGAGCGTTGCTGAGCCTTGCAGCTATTCACTGTGTTGGAAGTGCAACTGGTGAATAGGGGGAAAATACAGATCTCAGCCATCTCCCTAATTTTAAGAGCCCATTAATACCATGTTGCCTTAGGTTTTCCTGATTGCCTAGAGACACGATCCTCTGCAGTTTCTGAATACTTGTGCGTTAGTCATCGCACATTCGCTCATTTGCTTTATGGTCATATTGGCTCTGATTTGTTAGCAGGTCTAACCTCAGCTCTAGAGAGAGCGCGCTGAGTGCGTATGAGACCCAACATCCCATGCCACAGTATGTGGACCGCCAGCCTTACAACAGCAGCATGTCACCACCCAGTCACAGGATGCCAGCCTACGCTGCCAGCCAAGTATTCAGCACTCAAAGGTAAGGCCCTGGGCACAGGGGGACAAAGACCTGGTGAAAGCCACTGGCACAGAAGTGTCTGGCAGGAACTCTGGTCCAGGTTGGAGGATCACTGCATGAAGGAGTGAGAACAGGCTGTGGATTTTGTTCCCAGGGGAAGCAGCAGGATGGCCAGCTGTCAAAACACATGCAACAAGACCCTCTTTGGATTCAAAGAGACAAGCACAGGGTTCAGGACTGTGTTGATAATTGCTCTGCTTGCAGACCTTGCAGATGTGTAAAAAATACATGTGCTTCTCTTCTGTAACTGCAGAGAAGGTGATTAGGGAGAGGTCTATGTTTTATATTTCCCATGACCTGCAATTCTGTGAGAGGCTCATCCTTACAACTACTCCACACTCCTACTTTCGGGTGATCCAAATGTGGCCATTCACCTCTCTTACCATCTCTGGTGCAACAAAGTTCTCATTTGCATTCGAGGGCATTTGTGGACTAGGACTAGAAGAAAACGGGACAGACCGTTATTGTTCCATATTGGTTCTCATCACCAGCTTGGCACTGTGTGGTGCTGACGCATCTCTTTGCAGTGCTATAGACCAAAAAAAAGAAAACCTAAAAAAGGTCCTCCCCTTTGGTTTTTATGCACCAAGTGCATGTCTTGCCTAGGGCAGGGTTTTTCTCTTCTTATGGCGAGCTTAGCTGACCCCTCTTTCTCTCTTTAATGCAGCTTTCTGGTGTTTTTCAGCATTGTTTAATATTAAAGTTATACAGTTGCCTGAAGCTCTAATCAGGATCAAAGTCCTAACATACAATGTAAACATAATCTGTGCCCCTGAGCACTTGCAAGAAAAGAATGACCGTTACAGAACATTTTTGCTACTGAAAGAACTAGAGTTCTGCCTGCAGATTAAAGCCATTCAGATACCGAGTTCTGCCTCGGAGAAGTGAAAATGTGCAGCTCTGAACCCAGCCTGGCCAGCTGCTCAGCAGTTCAGCCTTGCAGATTTTGCAATGATGATTTTGGTGAGCGCCTGGAAAGGAAAACGTATTCAGGATGCATCCATTCATGGACTGCTTTGCCTTTATTCTCCAGCATTAGATTTTCAGTGTTCTTTCCTAACTTCAGAGCTTCTGCTGCAGGACCAGCAAAGTTCTGCAGAGCAGAGGAGGAACTACGTGGCACTGACTGCTGAGACTAAGTATTAGTAAGCCAGCGTGGAGACTCCAGCGGTTCCTGGTGTGTTGTAATCAAGGTTTTGTGCTTCCTTGCCAGACTTATCCTGGATTACAGAGGGACAGTTTATGATGGGAGAAGCAGGCCAAGCAACAGCAGATATGAGAGTGCTAGTGCTAGGGGGCACTGGGAATTTAGCCCCCCTCCCAGAAGGTAAAGAGTCAGAAGGGGGGAAATTCAGACTTGTTAACCCAAATAACACTGTCCTGTTAGATGTGTTCAGCATCTGGAGTATCCCAACCCCGCTCCTACCAGCTCCCTGGGTCTAAGAATGCTTAGTGAGCTCCTGCGTGCATGGAGGGCTGTGGTGCATGGGTGGTTTTGATGCCAACCAGGAAGAAATGCAGCCCAAGCTCTCACCACTTGTGAGGGTCCTTCGTGTGCTCAAGTTCATTGCTTGAGATTGTGTCACTTCCTTTCCTAGCCACTACTCCCTTCCCAGAGATACCACCATGTCCATTCCCCAGAGAAGCCACAGGGTGCCATTCTACATGGACAGCTCAGACTATAACAGCACCAGGTAAATGGATAGTCTCAATGGTGGTGAGGGAAATTCCCACAAAACTGCTGTGGAACAGGAGATATAAAGCAGAGCCAAGAGATGAGAGAGAGACGTAAGGGTTCCCGGGGTGGCATTTGTCATTTGGATGTACAGACCTGCCTTTAAACAGCACTGTCCCCAGCACAGGATCTGTGTGATACACCCACCTCTGGATGTTGGAGAGACTCTACCGCATGGGTGCTAGAACAGGGTGCATATCATTCCTGGCTACCTTCCCATCATGAGAAATTGGCCTTTACAGAAACTGCAGAGAAAAAAAAAAAAAGAGAGAGAGAGAGAGTGCTGAAAGCATACAGAGAGGTCAAGGGAGAAGATCACTGAAAGCCAGTGGTTAAATGACTGAACTGGTCTCAAAGCTGCTGGAAGAGGCAGGAGGTACCTGTTGTGGAATAGCACTGCTCTGGGCTTCTCTACAGACCTCCATTGCAGTTTCAATCTATTCCAGCGCAGCCTGGCACTGTATGGAGGTGCCAGGGTAGGTTTGGATCTGTAAAGTGAGTGTGGGCAGGGGGAACTTGGGCAGAGTGCAGGTAGGTAGGGCAGGTAGTGCAGCGTGTGGGTGGTGTAGGTAGGGAGCTTGTGCGCAAGAACAGGAGATGTGAGATCCTTGGAGAGCCTCGAGCTGGCTCTGGGCAAGATCAGCTGCATCCCCCCAAGGCAGACATAGCAGGTCTTGCTACTTAGTCTTCTGATGACAGCTTAGTAGCCGTAGTTTTGCCTTCTTGTTTCCACTGCAGCTTTGGGGGTGATTAAGTTGGGGCTAGTTATATTGGACCTTGGCCAGTATATCGCCATCTCCTTCTCTTCTGCAATGTGTTGTGTGTCATTTTTCTCCAGAAAAATTCAGGCTATGTGGTTTGCTTAAGGTCTGTTGTCATCTGAAGATCTCGTTTCATCTTTTTTCCTTGTGGCCTCAAAGGGAGACTTTCCCAAATCACTTCCACAGGGAAGATGTCAGGAAGCACCTGATATCTGGCAATTTTAAAAAAAGAGAGAGGAGCCTCTCGGGCTTGTGATGAAGGTGAATTAATCTGTGTAGCCAATGGCCTTAATACTGCACCCTCCCAAACTTCCCTTCTAACAGCAGTGGTAGGTCTTTCCTCGGCAGCCAGCTTGGGTTCTGTCACAGCTCGTGTTCCCAATTCCATAGGCTTCTCTCCCTTTCTCTCCAGGCTTCTCTCAAGTTCAAGCGAGAGGATCTCCACTCCAGCTGCCACCTTGCAGCACGGCAGCCCGGCAGCCTCTGGGTACGGGCTCGACCCCGGCGCCGCTGGGTAAGGAGCAGGGGGTGGCTGTGATTTTACAGCAAGCCCATCAGGGTAGTTTGGGGCCAGCACAGGATCCCGATCTGCAGTGTGTGACACATGATAGTGACAACTCAGTATTGTGTTCTGGGATCTGTAGTTTTCACGGGCTTCACCTTAAAGATGAAAATTACTGAAATCTGCACACAAATTAAGGACAGATTTCAGACTTGTGTGAGGTCAGCACACACCCTGCCAGGCAATATGTGGGTCATCCAACCCTCGCCACAGGCTGTTTGTCACAACACTACTAAGTAGGAGCTCTCATCTGAAACACTTGCTATGGGAAAGATCTGTGCTAGGTGAAAAAAAAAAAAAAAAAAAAAAAGCTCTTTTGTTCCTTTAGCTGGAACATGGCTTAATTTTTTCCTATAAGAAGAAGGGATTAGTCACAGCTTAGAGGCAGCAATGAAAATGAACCACGGAGAAAGAGCCTGATTAGTTCGTTTTACAGCTCTGCGAAGAGCCACTGTGGGCAGGGTCTCCGCTCGGTCTGTCGCAGACGGACAGATGGGGGCATGTCATGTCGGCATCAGAATTACAAAAAAAGGAGGAAGATGCAAGGAAGGTCAGCTCTGTAAGAAAGAAAAACCCTGCAGACACACCAGCAATTTGCAGAGCATGAAAATACTGAAGATATTCTAGTGGCAAAGCATTCACTGTAAGCAGTGTCGGTGCCAATAGGATTTTACTGTTTACTGTTACCACAGGCTCTCTCAGTGCTTACTATGTGCATAATCCGGAGATGATCTGAAAAAGACATTTATCCTTGCAAAACAGAGGATAACTGGATGAAAGAGCTACATTATCCATCCTATTCTTTTTAATTAACATGATTTACTTTGGTCACTAATTAGAGGGGTGTATTCGGTGTTATTTAGCATCAGTGCTTGAAATCTGGTATTTATTTAGGAATAACAGAATCTCGCTCTGTGCCTTTTCATGCACACGTTCTGTGTCCAAGTGCACACATGCAGTCCCTGGTGCTGTCCCTCATTAGTTTCAGTCTTTTCTAATGCAAATGCTTCTTGTCCTGCTTCTGTCTCTCCCTAGAAAGGGGATCCTCTTTGTGAAGGAGTATGTGAACAGCAGCGAGTTATCGTCCTCCCCACGCTATGGCAGGTATGAGGAGCCTGTGGCAGTGCAGACAAGGCAGCAGTGGCTCTCACTGGCAGGGGAGCCTTTCCCATCCTTTTCTCCTGCTCCCCGTCTTACCCTCCCTGCTCCCAGCCAGCCTGGTCCCCTCTTTTCTGCCATTTTAATGAGTAAACCAGCCTGTCAGAGGGCTTTGATGGTAGCAAGAGGTAAGTGGTTGGAAGCATGTGGAGAATGGAGAGGGTGCAGTGGAGGTCGCTGTGAGCTGTCACCAGCACCACATGGCACAGGGAGGAGAGGCTGCAGGGCAGGGCTGCTGCGTATCCTGCCACCTCCCTCAGCCTCCAAGGAGCCCCGTGTCAGCGTGAATCTCCTGGTTTCTCAGGCACAGAAATCCTGCGACCCAATTAGGACTTTAGGTTATCCTAAATGATTAATGTTTCCATGTATAATGCTCTTCCCGTGTATCAATGCTAAGTGCTGATATTTCCTTCCATTTCCAGTGGCAGCCTTGTCGATTTGACCAATTTGGACAGAGCAACCTCCAGTCACCACAGCTACTTGTCCAGCTCCCCCCTGCCGAGGTAGGACAGTCTAGGGCTGCATGGCCATTTCAGCAGACTTGCACAGACACTACATTAAGGTTTCACTTTTTTATAATGCTGGTATGTGCTTGGTGAAATCACAGCAGGAAGTTTACACAATCTTTTGAGAAGATAGTGACACTGAATGCTCTGTACTGCTCTGCTCTTGTGCTCTGTGCCTCTGAGCCACAACATATGTGGGGCACTGATGGGACTGCAGCCCATTTGCATTAGAGGCACCGTGGTGCAGGAGTTCACTGTTCTGCTCCTTCCCAGGTCCCCCGAGGCTGTTTGCAGTTACTGTGGCCGTGAGATCCGCGACTGCCCCAAGATCATCATAGAGCACCTGAACATCTGCTGCCACGAGTACTGTTTCAGGGTAAAAAAACCTTACTGCTGACCACCTTAGGCATGTTGCTATGAAATGGGATGTGGGAGGTTTTGGGAGTCTTAGCTCAAATTCTGTCCACACACTTTTATAGTAGTGTATATTTTACACAGAGTTTGCACTGGAAGCTTGCATCCACAGCGGGACAAAAATCACATGCAGTCACAGGTTTTGGTTGTGTCCCCAAAATTTTTCAGCTCCTCAAATAAATGCTACTTAGAGCAAGCAGAATTCTCTCAGATAGAACTGCTGTTGTCTCAGAGCATGCAGCTCTTCAGTTTTCACAGTTTTTTAATCTCAAAGGGTCTTTAAATAAAGCAGTAACTTCACCTGCCACTGGCGTGCTGTCTCCTTGCTGGAGGACATTCTCTTTCTCATGTTCCTGTCTTTGGGGTAGAAAGGTTGCTTTGTGGCATCTGTCCCACAGCACATGTCTTGCTGGATCTCTCAAACTTTGCAAAGTTTAGAAGTACAAATGTTGGGGATGGGTGGAAGCCACTCCTGGTGACACTGGTTTCCACTGTAGAAGTGTTTAGTCTTGAAGGCCACTCATTTGGCATCTCCACCACCTTTAAAATGATACAGAGACTATTAATTTCTCTGCCTCCTTCATACTGACATTACCATATGGTGCTTTGTTTACTGTCCAACCATCTTGTTTTTTTCCTTTGGCAGTGTGGAATTTGCCACAAAGCAATGGGAGACCTTCTGGATAAAATATTCATCCACCGGGACATTGTCCACTGTGACAAGTGCTATGAGAAGCTCTTCTAGGTGAGTGCCCCTGTGCAGCACCAGCATAGATGGCTGGATGAGAGCTCACAAAGAGCTTACTGAATGATGAGCATTTAACCCTGATACTCACCAAGTGACCCACGCGGGGATATTCCTGTGGGTTTTTAGTGGGAAACAATGAGCCTTGTCACAGAAATAACTAGAATCACACTACATGTCGTCCCAGGGCACTCGGTTACAGAGGGGGAATAAACAGGCTGTGTTAGCTTCATTTTGGAGAGAGGAGCAGAACAGCAGCCATTGGAGGTTGAGAGTCCTCTTGGGTCCTCCCAGAAGCAGGTTCCCCCTCGCTTCCTGGGCAAACCCGCTGCACTGTGACAGTGTTAACTTTCCTTCAGCAAGAAGGAAGCATGTGAGTGGTAGGTGAAGTTGCTGCTTCGTGTAAAAATCCTTTGAGGTGAAGATCACTGGGAAAACCGAAGGACTGCACACTTTATTGATGGATCAACAAGGAAGGGGATTTTTTTTGTTTTGTTTTGTTTTTTTTGAGTTTGATAATCCTGTGGGATAGGAGTCACCACAGCAGCCATTGGAAACCCTGCCATCACCATAAGATTGTAAAAGAGGTGCCTGCATCCCTCTGTCTGCCTCATGAAAGAGCAGAGAAAGGGAAGGAAAGAGGTGGCTGCCCCATTCCATAGACGGCTGCTGCTGCGTTTGTCACCTAATGCAGTGTGACTAGCTGGCCCTTTTCATCCCATTCCTGTGTGTTCATCTGCTTCACTGACCTCTGCAATGCAGTTTTTTTGTGCGGTACCCACATCCTGTGCTCATCTTCTCTTATTTGCTTGCAGGGTTTTGCAAAGCTGAGACGGCAGCCAGTGGAAAGTCCTCAGCAGCACATATCAGAACGTATCTAGCAGTTTCTGACTGGCTAAGATAGCAATGTTCCTGCTCCCCCCTTGCTCGAGTTATTTTCTCTCTTGCCGCCTCATCACAATGAATGAGTTTAACAGCCACTAGTTTATGCTGTCAGCTGTATACGAGACAAGTGTCAATGTTAACAAGATAAGGCAGTGTTGACTACAAAAGATAAGTGGGCTGATTTTCCAAAGGTGCTGAGCTTCTCCACCTGTCTTTACCTTCATTAAGATTCCCTAGTGTTCCCTGGGTTGGAAATCGGGTAGAAGCTCCTTAGGTCTAAGCTAATTGCAAGAAATCTTTTTTGATTTGTTCTTTCACTTTTGCAATCAGGCTGCAGCTTAGTGCCTCTCAGCTGGCACAAAGCAGGCATATCTGAGAAGTGTTAAACACTAAATTTGGATCCCCAGGAAGGTTTGAGTCTAGCACCTAGCAATAGCTTATTGTTATTATTTTTCACCCCAAAATTCCACCTAGAAATAGCTTCTGCCCGATTTCCATTTGCTTTTCCATGGCTTTTCAGCAGCACATGCAGAATCACTTTACCCTAATTGTGTGTCAGCTTTCATTTCCCTTTTCTGCCTGCTCCCTAGTGGCTTCCTGTAGCAGCATGCTGCCTGCTTGGGGAGATAACTCTCTTTCACCTGCTAGTCTAACTTGGCTTCCGATGGGAAGTGTCTAATGGCCAAAAAATGTTCCAGAAAACAGGTATCTCAATTGGCTCCTGACAAGAAATGCTGCTCAGCTAAATCTGAATTTTCCCTGGCCTCAGCAAGGCTTGCTGTAATGCCTCTTTAATTGCTGCAAGTTATTTACATCACAAATGCTAACTCCCCAGATTGAACTTCTAGCAAGTGCTCTACATACTAAAAGTCAGAATGTCATAATTTTAACCCTTAGTTAAGCTGCTGAGAGGCTGAATGCTGTACTACTAAGGAAAGTGAACACTGAAACCTAGGAAGTCAGTTTCTCTGCTTTAAAATACAGCTCTGAATGTGTCCAAAAAGTTAGTTTTCTCTCTGCAAGAATTAGAAATACCTGCAAAGCACCCAAGTCAGTTCTGTATTAGCTTGTCCTTCGAAATGGGTGATGGCAAAAGCTCTAATGCAGACTATTGTTAGCCATGAGAGAATAGAGAATTCTTTCTGCTCTTAGCGATGGAAGCTGGCATGCATGCAAAAGCTTAGCAAGTTAGTGTTTCTACAGCACAGCTTAGCTTTTTTTAGGCCACTGTACCAGTTATTTAACCGAATTACAGGCATGACCTTAGAAGCACTCCATGAGGGGAACTCCGTTTGAATCGGTAACAGCTTTACCACTGGGCAGCTTTTTAGGTGGAAACTTGAAAGCCAGGTCAGTGTTAAAAGGGGCAGCTCCATTTCGAGCATGCTTAGTACAGCCAGGGACCAACTGCTGCTGTGAAGCCACGTATGAAAGCACGTTGGAGAAGCCCATGGCAGTAATCGCAAAGCCACAATTTCAGAAATGACTACTGCTTTTCACTGTCTACAATTTTAAGTTCTTAAGTTGAGATGTTTTTGAGCAGAAGAGGCTCACAAGCATCTCGTGTTGAATCTCCCAAAACTGCTGCTCATTTCTGAAAACCTTGGTCTGCGGTTCCTGCCTGTACCTGTGGCCGGGAAGGACGGGTATGGAAGCTGTCACCAGCCACCTTATGCCACGGTCGAAAGGGAATTGCTTAAAATGCCAGAACAGATGGGTACATTGTTACAGACGCACTTGGAGAAGAGAATCTGCAGAAATAACATTTTCACTGATTTACAGAGTACCTCATGGGTGCGTGGCCTTGTGGGGAAAGGGCTTGGTCCATCGTACATTTTGCACTGCATCTCTTCGGCACTGCATTTTCCTGTAGCAGTTGTTTAACCTTGAGGGTACAGCTCTAATAAATGCTCATGTGCGACCCACTCGGCTGTGTCATCGCATAACATATTCCCATTACAGGATCCCTTTGGTCTGCCCGACTGTGTGAAGTTTTGCACCGCAGTGGCCCCACAGTGACCATGACTGTCAGTAAAGTCACTGCTTGCCTTACAGAGGATCAGGAGGGAAGGCACCCATGGGAAAGGGCATCCTTAAAGGAGGTGGTGGACTGTAACTTGCTAAGCAAAGGTGTGAGCTGAGGGTCTTCACGCAGTTTAATGCTGTTTGCTTTAAAAACCTGGCAACCACCTGGGAAAAAGGGAGGCTTGGACACTATTTTACAGTGCAAGGGGGTCTCCAGCAGAAGCAAAACCAAGGCCCTGTGTTTGCCCTATGTGTGGGCAAAACCTGCCCCAAGACACAGGTGTGTTGGCTTTTCCTGTCCCCCAGGCTGCTCTCAGGGGTGCTGCCTGTCCCTTCCTCTAGACCTGGGCTGCTGCAAGCTGCCACCCAGCCCGCGTGGCAGCGCAGGGTCAAGGTTCAGTGCCCTCGGTTTTTTTTTCCACCAAAAAGCCACGTGTCACCCCTGCAACTATTTTAAAAAATAATTACAAGCTTTTAGACAAAAGCAAGCTATCACTGAAGTTTCCAGAGCAGCCAGACTCCCCCTCCAGAGAAGAAATGAGAGTCATCTAAGAGGCGCATGTTCTGCTGCCACTGGCTCTCTCCTGCAGATTCTCCATGTGCGCTGGAGAGACCCCATTTCCCTGGGGACAAAAATAAGGCACCATATACGTTTTACTGCCTCTCTGAAGCTCACTCAGAACAGCTGACCCAAGCTCCGCTGCTGTGGGCCTGTCAGCAGGGCCTGAGCAGAAGTGACTGTGGGCTTGGGAGTGGGAAGGGGTCGCGCTGCTGCTTTGGTGCAAAACCCAGGGTTTTGGAGACAAACGGCAATGTTAAAAACATAAAAAGGTGCAGTCCATAGCGCTGCTCCCTCCGAGGGCAGCGCAGCCCCGGGCGCCCGGGGGACACGGGGCGCCG